ACCCCGGGGGCAGGCAGCTGCATTCCCGGGAGTGCGTCGGCCCTGGCACCACCAGAGGGCGCCGTGCACCGCTGTCTCCTGGGCCCGGAGGGAGCAGCCCCGGAGCCGGGAGAGGGAGGAACTGGGACTCGGAGGAAGTCCCCCCTCCCAACCCCGGGGTCTCAGAGCTGGGGAGGGGGGGGCAGGGCCAGGGGCCAACCTGTCACTCACCACAGCCCGCCCAGCCACTGCACCTGCTGCCCCCCATCCTGCCGCCGTGGCTTAGACCAGTGATGGCGAACCTTTTGAGCTCGGCGTGTCAGCATTTTGAAAAACCCTAACTTAGCTCTGGTGCCGTGTCACATAGAGAAATTTTTTGATATTTGCAACCATAGTAAAACAGAGACTTACATTTTTTGTATTTATTTTATATATTTAAATGCCACTAGGTCAGTGATGGCGAACCTTTTGAGCTCGGCGTGTCAGCATTTTGAAAACCCTAACTTAACTCTGGTGCCGTGTCACATATAGAAATTTTTTGATATTTGCAACCATAGTAAAACAAAGACTTATATTTTTGATATTTATTTTATATATTTAAATGCCATTTAACAAAGAAAAATCAACCAAAAAAATGAGTTCGCGTGTCACCTCTGACACGCGTGTCATAGGTTTGCCATCGCTGGCTTAGAGTGTGGGGTGCCCAGGCCAGAGGCTGGCAGCACCCACTTGTCCCTGTGTAACCAGGAGCCCTGAGTCCCCTCCGGCGTGTCTAGGGGTCCCTCCAGGAAGGGCCATGCTGAGCGCCTGCCTGCCCTGCAGCCCAGCCAGCTCTGTGCCCGAGCCTGGGGTGAAGGCCAACGTCCATCAGATGACCCGTGGGTCCCGCGAGGTGACCACATGTGCACGTTGGCAGAGCAGCTTGCCCTCACCCAGCAGAGCCCCTCCCTGGGGTCCCCCAAGGCCTGGGCCACCTGCTGCTCTTCGTCCCTGGGGTCCCCCAAGGCCTGGGCCACCTGCTACTCTTCGTCCCTGGGGTCCCCGAGGGCTTGAATATCCAGTGAGGTTTCCCAGAGCCTCTGCTGCTTGTTCACCCCAGAGGCGATGCCCCCCAGCCCCCCAGCCCCCTGCCCACGCTCGGGACCTGAGGACCAGGGAGAGGTGGGCAGGAGCTGGAGCTTCGGGTGCTGTGGGCCGTGGGCACCTGGGCATCTGCAGACAGGAGGTGCCCTCCCAGTATTCAAACAGCACGGCGGGCAGCAAGCGCAGCACAGGTGGCCGGGGACCTGCAGGGGGGAGTGGCACCCGAGTGCCCAGGACGGGGCTGCCCCGCACTGCACCGCCCAGTGTGTGGTCCAATGTAAACGCTGTCTGTCCACCCCCACTCCCCTCCCTCACCCTCACACCCCCATGCCCAAGGCACCCCCCACGCTGTCTCTGTCCTCCTCCTCCATCTCCCTGGCCCCTCCAGGGACCCTGCTGGTGGTTGGGGAACTCAAGTCACGCCTTTCATCTGCAGAAAGTTGTGGGGGTCAAGCTGCCCTCAGCTCTGACCCAGGCACCACCCAGGGACCCCACCAACCCTGTAGCCTCCATCTTGAGGGCTGCCCATCACCCTGGCACCCGCTGGGCATCCCTCGGCCCCTGGCAGGGGGGCCGGGTCTAGCAGCCTGGGTCTGTTTCAGCCAGAACCAGGGACCCCCGGACTCCATGGCCACCCCCTGCCCCTCGGCCCTGGAGTGTGTCTCTGAGAAGCAGGTGCCGCCGCCCTGGCCTGGGGGCCAGTCTCCAGGATGCACCTCCACCCCTGATGCTTCCTGGGAAGATGAGGCGTGTGGGGGCGCGGAGGTGTCGGCCTCTCTGCCCCCCCCCACACCCCCGCAGGCAGAGCCACTTAGAGGGGGCCGTTCACAGCCATGGAAACCACCACAGGGCCCGGCCGGCGGGGCTCGGGGGTTGAGTGTGGACCTAGGAACCAGGAGGTCTCCGTTCGATTCCCAGTCAGGGCACACGCTGGGCTGTGGGCTCAATCCCCAGTGGGAGCAGATAAGGGTGACCTGGAAATGCCGGAGGCAGCTGATCAATGATTCTCTCTCATCATCAATGTTTCTCTCCCTCCCTCTCCCTTCCTCTCACCCTGGAGACGGAGCCCGCAACCCGGGCAATAAAAATAGATACGAAGTGCTCTAGCCGGTTTGGCTCAGCGGATAGAGCGTCAAGCGTCCCAGGTTCGATTCTGGTCAAGGGCATGTACCTTGATTTCGGGCACATCCCCAGTGGGGAGTGTGCAGGAGGCAGCTGGTCAATGTTTCTCTCTTATCGATGTTTCTAACTCTCTATCCCTCTCCCTTCCTCTCTGTAAAAATCAATAAGATATGCTATATATGAAGAAAGAAAAGGCACTCAGCCCGGCCGGGGGGAGGTGTGCTCCCCAGTGCTCAGGACACCCGGGTGGGGGTGTGGGCACAGGAGTGTTGACCCAGGTTCTGATCAAGGGTGTTGAGCGGCCAGGCCTGACCTCGTGGGCCCCCATCGCAGCCCCTGGGGTCAGCCAGGGGCCTGGGCACGTCAGGGGCAAAAATAGAATTCTGGGGACTAGCTGCGGTTCTGGGAAACATTACTCATCTCTGTGAACCGCGAGAGCCCTGTTCTGCTGAAAGAAAGCACATTCTAACCCGCTGGGAACTGTACGCCCCCACCCCCCCCACACACACACCTGGGAGCCAGCCTCGGAGGGCGGTCCATTCAAGACCCGCCTGTGACCATGGAAAGATGAACAAGCTTCTCGCCCAAACAATGGCGTCCCACCCCGGCCCGCACAGCCTACTTCCCCACGCCCGTGATTCCTGCTCCCCATGTAATCCTTGTCCTGCCTGCCCTGTATAAGCAGCTGGCTTACGGGGGCGACAGAGCAGATGTCTGTGGGGAACCTGTGCTCTCCATGCCGCCGGCAGGACTGGAATAAACGCTCGATAGGATTCTCTTCTGAATGGACTCAGGGAGGGACAGGCAGCCCGGATCCCCTTGGTTGTGCGGCTTCAGACAGCCCCCTGCGCGCCCAGGGCTGGGGCTGGGAGGGGCTGCGTCCGGTTCTGTCTGGGACTGACCGCTCCCCGCCCCCACCGAGGGTTCTGTGCCTGGGGCCCCCCACACTGGCCAGTCCGGGCCTCGCGGGAAGCAGGTGCTGGGAGGGAGCCGCTGTGGCCGGAAGCACTTCTGAGAACGGTGGCTTCAGGTCCCTCATCTGAGACTGAGCTCCAACCCGGGAGGGGCTGTGGTTTCCGGGACACCTGAGGCTGCTCCTGCGGGCAGGGTTCCCAGGGCGGCCGCCTCCCCTGGGGTCCCTCCCGGGCTTGGGAGCCCCCGGCGGTCAGGCCGGGTGACCAGCTCTGCAGGCGGGCGCACACCCGCCCCGTAGGAGGCTGGGCTGAGTGGGAGGGAAGGGAACCAGCGCCCTGAGTCTCCTGGGCCCCCTGCCCTGGGCACGTTTCCAGCCTCAGAACTTGGAGTGGCTCAGGCCTCCCCTACCCAACGCCTGGCTGCCTCCAAACACCCAGAGCCGGGGTCTCGCCAGCCCCCCAGCCCCAGGCCCTTTTCATGGCAGAGCCAGGCCGAGTGGCATCCTCAGGGCTCGAAAAATCCTGAGCAGGGACATACGCTTTGGGGGAGAGAGCGGGAGGGGGCAGATGGAGGTGGGGTGACCGCGGGGTAAGGGGCATCTGTGCTGGGGAGGGGCGTGTGGAGGGAACCTGAGCTTCCTGGGGCGAGACCCTTCCGGCCCAGGCCCCAGCCCAGCCTCACTGCCCACATCCTCCCTGCCTTGGAGGCCCTGGAATCCCCCAGGCTCTGCGTGAACCCCCGCAGCCCCCACGCTGACGTCTGGAGTCGTTCCCATGAGCACTGGACGCCCAGGAGGAGTTTCCGCGCTGAGTCAGCCCTGCCGCCCGCCCACCGCGAGCCTGGGGCCCTGGGCGTGGGCAGGCCAAGGTGGTTTCGCGGGAAGATCCTCAGACGACTCCCGGCCCCGGGTGGGGGGGAAACTGCTTCCCCGAGCAGGCGCCTGGGAGGGTCCAGTCCGTGGGGATGGAGCAGTCAAGTGACCCAGGGACCCCACCAATCCTGGCCCAGCCCCACGGAGAGCTGGCTTCCCGAGGGGGGAGGCCTGGCCAGGAGGCAGGCGCAGGCTGTCCGGCTGGGCTCTCCCAGACTGACCACCTGTCTCCCTGATGTCCAGCCAGCCCACCTGCATTTTCTTCTTTAGTTAATTCACCTGGACACTCACCAGGAAACTGGGCTCCAGGGAAGTGCCCGGGGCTCGGAGAAGGTGCCCAGGGAAGAGTATTTCACAAGGCTGTCCCCACCCTCCTTTCTGGGTGCAAAGGAGCTGTGCTGTGCCGGGTGGGGCGATGCCGGGGGCGGGGATGGGCCCACACCCAGAGCCCCCCTCTCCTCCACCTACTGCTCTGAGCCGTACCCACCTGGCCTATTGCCCATCGGGACGGGGAGGGGGGGCAGGGGCAAGGGCCAATGAGTCAAGAGGGTGCTACTAGTCAGCAGGCAGGCAGGAGGGGAGGGCGGGGCCTGGGCATGTGGGGTGCAGGCATGCCAACACCTGGAGGGCACTGCTCCTGACAGGTCCCCACTGGCCTGCCCGCCACGCCCTGGACCCCTGGACGGTGCCAAGGGGCCCTTATCAGACCTGCCGGGAGGCAGGGAGGGGCTGCTCAGCTCCGCTGGGTGGAACCCCAGAACCAGGCTCTGAGGGAGAGGGGTCCTGTGAGCTGGTGGAGGCCAGCACAGGACGTGGAGAGAGGGCTGGGCCCAAAATAGGCCACTCTGACTACCTGCTGCCCCCAGGAAGCGCTGAGGTAGAAACTGACCTCGCCCTGGACTCTGGGCTCAAGAGTAGGCAGGCCAAGGTGGTTTCGCCAAGGCCCCCTCTTCCAGGAAGCCCGCCTTGCCTGGGGTTCCTGCTCCGGAACGGCCTGACCTCTGCCCCAGCCCTAACTCCACCCCATCTGTCAGGGGCTGTGGGCACCGGGAGGAGAGGCCATGGAGCCCATGCCGCGGGGCCCTGTCCCTGTGTCCCCCCAGCACACGTCCACTCAGGTCCCTGGACAAAGTGTTTATTGAGCGCTGCCTGCAGCCAGGTCCGGGGCTGTGTACCTCCAGTCCGGGGAACGAGGGGTCCGCAGCCCCCACCCCAGCAGGGCCGGCAGCCACAGCCCTGTCTGTGTCCCCCACAGTCCACGCACGGCTGCTGCCTCTTCTGCACAACCTGGGGACTCGCCGCTGTCGCCG